CTTGTAAGCTCCCCTTACTAGCCCAGGAGACAGAGGCATGGGTTGCATTAACCTCATACAAATGGCCCCAAACCATCTCCAGAAGAGCCTTGCTTATGGGGTCAGAGCCCTTTCCATGAGCAGGCAGGGAACCGTGTTCCTCTGAAGCAGAAAAGAGGAAAACTACTGTGGCTGCTCATGTGCCTTAGTGCTGCTCTACAGCAGCTTCACTGGTCTGATCTCCAGGCTACCTTTCAATCCAAGGAAGGAAACGTGCAGGGTATGAAGCCACCTCCACCCGCTGTGCGCCAGAAGGCAAGTCACTGTGGGCACAGACCTGAAAGCTGAGTCCTTCATAATTCCAAACAGACAGAAAGGAGCAGCCAGCACAGGTCACCCCATCTCCCCCTGAAGTAGTATGGGAATGTTTCTCATCATCTCTGGATCCAGGAGAACACAGGTGTTTTGATGCAGTCTTAAGTCCTTTGAAGGGCTCAGGTTCGAATTGCTGTCCCACCATGCACAGAACTGAGGACTGGCTGGGTGCTGAGATGCAATGGCCACAGCGCAGTGGGGCAGTGCTGCTGCTGACAGAAGCACTGAGCATACAGAAGAGTCACGCACAGTTCTGGAGGAGCTTCAGCTCACTTACAGTCTCAGCACAGACTTCTTGCCATCCCCTCCCTGTGTGATACCCACATTGACATGGAATCACCATGGGAGCATGGGACAGGCAAAGGTCTTCTGCACACAGTAAAGTTTCCAATTCAAAAAAAAAAACAAAGTAAAAATGAAGCAACTCCCCCAGGCTTGCACTACAAAGACCTGGCAGGAAGGCAGGGGCACCCTGCCAGCAGGCTTCGGGACTGACACTGCTTATTGAGCTCAGGATCCCTTCCCCAGCTCCCAACGATTCCAGCCAGAAGGACAGTCGCTCCTGGCATCGATCTCAAAAAAAGATCCTGCAATAAAAATAAATCACTCAGCCCTTCAGTGAGCGTCAATGCGTTTCCCCATGCACATGTGGTGAGGTCGCCAAATACCAACGGCATCTGACCCCTGTGCTGGGAATTCCAGCAGCGCCCGCTTTGTTCTGCCTCCAGAACGCTGCCCTAATCACTGCTTCGTACCCGGCTTCGCAGGGCAGGTGATAATTAAGCAGGTCTGGATTAGACATCGGGCTAGAGATTAGTTCAATACCAATTTCCACTTGACAGCTGAGACCTCAAATCATGGCAGCTCTGAAGCTCAAATTGCAATTGAGTCCTGCAGAGAAGAGGGAGAAGGCAGCAGCAGAGCAGCACCGCCCCACACTGTGCCCCAAAGCTCCAGGTCCTCCCAGCAACGCACGGCTGAGATCCCCATGCAGGAGGAGTGGCCCTTCAGCTCAGCCTGACCAGGCACAGAGAAGCAAAGCCATCACAAAGGATGCTTTCCCAAGCGCTTTCTCCACACAGTGGAGAAATTCAGGCTTTCAGACGCTCTGGGGTTTATGGACAAGGAGACAGAACTTAAAGCCACGTACTGAGATGCATAAATCACACTGCTTTAACTGAAACTGCTTTGAAAAGTTTAACTTCAGCGTGCCCCTATGGAAACCCCTTTATTGACAGCACTGAGTAGCATCAGTTTCAAGAAAAAAACCAATCCATGGGATATCACCATTCAATCAGCATAAGAATATCTTCAGCTGTAGCAGCCAACACTCTGAGATCCATACAGACATTCTCGTGCCCGCAGAACTCACAGCGCCAGCCACACGATCACTGCAAGCACATCCGCAGCATGGATCAGGAACAAAGAAATCAAACAGCTTCTTCAGAGGTCCCTGAAAGGCTGCGGGTGGAGAACACAGAGCTCACCAGTGGGCAGAGCACGGCACTGCCCTCTCTCCTGCTGACCAGCACACAGATCTTACCTGGAAAGCACAGGATGAAAAGACTTAAACCAAGAGACAAAACCTTCCTTGTCTGAGCAGGGCAAAGGATACTCTCCTATTTCACAGCAAAGCACACGCACACGAAGTAGCTCAGGTCCAAGAAGAATACACCACATCTACGCGCTGCCGAGCTTCCACCATCGGTGCTCAGCTCTTCCTGCTGTCTCCAGTTCTTGGATTAGCTAAACATGAAGTCAGCATGGCTATACAAGTGTCCACACCTGAAATCACTGCTCCGCACAGCTGCGCTCAGGCTGTGTTCTCTGTGCTGAGGCAAAGAAGCACTGCAGCTCTCCTACTGCTCTCCCCTCAATTAGATGAATTCTTGTTTCTCCTCTTTCCCACCTGGGCATGGCACCATTCTTAACTTGGGGCTGACCAGGATGAGCCCCTGGCACAGCCACCCTGGAAAGCCTCCCATTTCCAAGGAGATGTAAACAATGAAGCTGCTCCATCACTGCCCTGATTCTTAGGGCAAACAAATATTAACAAGATAAACAAAAGAACAAAAAATCCCACACACCAAGACTGCAGCTGAAACGCTGCCCTGGGGATGGGCAAGCTGCAGGGAATGCTGGGCTGGAGATGCACAACCTCCAAAGAGGAGGAAGAGGGAGAAACCTATTCAATCTGAGCACCAGAGGCGAGAGGAAACATTGAATTAAGCCTTGCAAGGTCCATTCCAACCAAGCAGCCACACTGTGATTCCATGAAAGGGGCTGAGGGATGAACGCACGGCCCTGCAATGCCTTTCTTTGGCACACAGCTGCTGAGCACAGCCAGCATTCATCTCTTGCTGGTTTTCACTAATGGCTCCAATATTTACAGGCCTATATGGAGCAGCTGACGTTCCTTCTGTCCTTCTGTCCTGCCTGTCCCTGCAGACCAACTGATTGCTTTCTCCCGGACACCAATTAGCAGGGATCCCAAAATATTTCCAGTGCCTCCTGGGGCTCCACAGCATCTTGGAGACAATGCTGCAGCTGGACTGCTCCAACCCTTCTCTGGCTTCCTTGGGCTGTCTGGAAAGGAGGAAAGACCCAAACAGCTCTACCCTGATGGGGCAGCCCTGGTGTCACCAGGAGAGGTTTCTGCCCTCCATTCCACGCAGTGCTTTGGCACAATGGGGCACGACCTCACCTACATCCCAACGGATCTCTTCCAGCTGCAGAACCACCTTTCCTTCCCAAAGTCACTTCTTCCCAGAGGAACTAGCTGAAATCTTCCCACATTCCTGTGCATCTGACCTCACCGGGTCTTCCTGAGCCATTCTTCCTTCTCCCTCCTCGTACCCTATGTGCTTTATCTTCAACTTTCATTAATCCACCATCTGCCTCCTCTCACGGAGCGTTAAAGACACAGAGGAGGATGAAAAGGCACAAGGCAGAACACTGCTGCCACCAGACCCCTCTTCCCAACTCAAGACACTGCTACTTATTACTAAACTTTGTTTATAGCTGCGCAGACACTCTCCCACCCACATGGCAGTATTTCATTCAAGACAAGTTTGAATTCACTTCAAGAACATTTCAAAGGATCCCCAAGCATTTGTTTACAAACAGCGTGCGCTGAGAATGGAGAATTCACTTCTCCCACCACTGAGTCACGGTCCCCTCAGAGCCGAGGAGAGACAGCTGTTCCGTAGCACCCAACAGCTGAGGGACAGGAAACCATCGGCCAACAACTGATAGCACAGGGGAGATTTATGGAAAATGAGGGCTGAGGACTTCTATTTGGATGGAGGGAAGGGGGAAGCTGTCGAGGGCTGCAGCTCTCTGCTGGGCCTGGAGGAATGCAGGGAGGCGAAGCGTCCCAGACTGTGGTCATAGGAGTGACTCCAACTTCCAAGCCTCATCTGAAAGCTGGCACCACCCGAGCTAACGGGAACCTGGGCACTGGGATGGCTTGGCTGCAGAGTGGAGAGCACCCCCTGCTGAGGCAGCCACACGGCTTTCCATCCAAGCCCCAAACAGGCCCAGCCCTGTGTAACTTACGGCAGGAGCCAAAATCGCAGCCCAGGGAGGCATTTTGGCACAGCACGAAGACACTGGGAAGGCTATAAAACTGAAAGCTCTCTGCAGTCCCAGCCTCCATCCACAAGACCTACTGTAAACACTCAATCTTCAGAGGAGGAAAAAATGCAAAGGGAAGGAGATCACGCAACTCTTTCAAACGGCAAAGCGCTAGGGATGGTGACGGGTCACGTGCTGTGGAGGCCAAGAGAAGCTGTGAAGGGAAGGGAGCTCCACAACAAAGCCAGAGGTGTCACCAAGAAATGAGGACCAAACAAAGGGTCTCACTGAGATCTGATCTGACAGGGCTCCCCAAGTCAGTCAACGACCTCAGGGAGACAGGAGGCAGCAGCTCCAGAGCAGATCAGTCAACACAACTGTCCGTGGTAGGACTGACTGCCTCGCATCCAAACAACCACACGTGATGGAAAGAGCAAGGAAGAAACCATGAAAACACAGGTGCTGGAGGAGAGCTGCCCCAACAGGGGACACAACAACACAACAAAGCAGGGCTGCTCCCCTCTCCCACACAGACCCTGGACTCTGTACGTTCACTGGAGTCACCAGAGATTAGAGATGGAGCAGGGGACATCTCGTATGCTTTGCCCAGAGCTGGGCAGCACATGGAGAGCTCTCAATCCCCCTGCACGAAGGCGGGAGACGGCTGGTCCCATTCCCCATCCCAGAGCCGAGGGAGGGGAGAAGGGACTGCCAAAATGGACGGTGCTCCCCAAAATGGATGGGAGGAGAGCCACGCCGTCCCGGGCAGGGGCCGCGCAGGGAGCCATGCCCTCGCACCCTCCCCAGGTGCACACAAAGGAAGGCTCCCGGCCTTCGGGGAAAGGAACGGCGACGTTCGGGGGCCGCCACCACCGCTCTCAGCGCGGGGCCGTGGCGGCCAGCCGGGTACCGCCGAGGCCGGGGGGGCTCCAGGGTACCGCGCCACGCGACGCGAGCGGGGATGCGCACGGCGGGGACTCCGGCGCCCCGTCCCACCCCCACGCTGCGGGGCGCGGCGGAGCCGGCTGAGCCCCAGCCCTGCGGAGGGCCCGGCCCGGGGCCGCGCTCACCCGAAGTCGTCGTCCATGGACTTGAAGTAGAACTTGTAGTTGGGGCGGTTGAGGAGGCCCTTGAAGTCGCCGAGGGTGACGCGCTCGGCCGGGATCGGCAGCTTCACCAGGTACGGCGTCTCCTGCTCGTCCAGGTGGTAGATGATCTTCGTCTCGGCCGCCGCCATGGCGCCCCTGCCCGGCCGCCGGGCCCACCGCTCCTCCGCCCTCGGCCCGGCCCGAGACCCCCGGCCGCCTCCCGGCCGCCTCCCGCCGCGGTCTCGCTCGGCCCGGCCCGGCCCCCTCCCGCTTCGGCCCGGCCCGGCTGCGGCCTGCCCGCGCCGCTCCCCCCTCGCCCCTTGTTCTGCGGGTCCCAGCGCCGCCCGGACGCACCGCGCACGCTCCGATCCCGCGGCCCCGCCCCCCGCCCGCCGCCCCGGCCCCACCGGAAGCGGAACCGGCGCCCCACGGGGCCGCGCTGCGGCCCGGGACCCCGCGAGCCCCCGGTCGCTTCACGGCGCGGCCCCGTCCCGCGGCGCCCGGCGAAGGATCGGCGCTCCGCGCGCACCCCCAGGCGCAGAGTCTCCAACCGCCCGCCCCCCTTTCGGCTTTGTTCCCCCCGACCCCCACGGCGGTGTTTCACGCCTAGGGCCATCCCCGCTCCCCACGGGCTCTGCGCTCCCCCACGCCACCATTGTGCCGCAACTCTGCGCCCTTCCCGTGCTCCTCGCACCCTCTTTCTGCACCTTACGGAATACGGGACGTATTCTGCTCTTCGTGATGCTGCACGTACCCCATCTCTCTGCTGCCCCCATACCGCAGGGCAGCTGCGCCGATCCCCTCTGCGCCTCACAGCCTCCCTGACAGCCATGCATGGGTCCCAGCATCAGCCCTATTCTCCACTTAAGATAAGCAGCAGGGAACTATTTTCTCGTTCTAAGCTGTGTGCTATTGTTAGCTGAAACACCGGGAGAAACGCATCCATCACACAAGATGAGTGCTGTGGCCTTAATGCTCACACAGCTCAAAGTAACACAGCAACTCTACAGCCAAGCCTGATCTCAAAGGCATTTCTGACCTTCCAACCAAACACAAGCTTTGACAGGAAGCACTAGAAACCATCAAGCTGCCCCCTTGATTAAGCAAAGCAATTAATGCTTCTGTAAAAAAGTATGCACTCACCTGCCCCTAGGGATGCTGAACTATGCCAGAACTCCATGCTGGAGAACCTCAAGTCCTTTTTGCTGTTCTACTGGCACCTCCAATACAATCCACTACGCTCCACTATCAGGAGGGCATGGCACAGTACATACCCAATATTCACACTAGCTCTCCTCACAGCAAAGAAAAAGCAGATTTCATAGGATTTCCGTAAGCCTGCACAAAACTAAACCTCATTCACGTCAGGATTCTAAGTTCAGCAGTTGTGACAAACTGTTCTCTGCTTTCAAATAATGAGGTCACGAGCAATCATTGAGCCTTTATACCAGTTCAGAGTGCTGACATCTTTAACTGCTTAACATGTGCTTGAAATCTGTTGAGCAAAAAGTAGCAATGCGTTACCTAGCTTACCTGTAAGCCTTGCTCAACTGTACAACAAAGACGCATGCAAACAAACCAAGCAGGCCAGTATCACCAGCATAGTTTTTATTTGCTCCCTGAATTAAATAACGGCAGATACAGAAAACTCAGATACCATTTCCCCAACATTTACAAGGCTGAGTTTGCACTGTAGAAAACAAGCAGTTATGCACAATCCTGGCAACTGGTAGTGTGAGTGCACAAGATGGCCCTGCAGCATCAGTTTGGAAGAGGCAGCACCCCCAGCCTCCAGCATCCACTGCTGTCCCCTCACTGACGTTTGTGGCACCATGGAACGGCCAAGTAAAGATCCTGAGCGGGCAGCTCCAGTGCTTATTTCCCCTCCCTCTCACGGGGTTTATTCCATGCTCCTCCTGAAGGGGCAGAGGCAAGGTCAGAATACCCAATTTATAATCCACCTAATGAACAGAAGCTGCCCCTGAAAGCAGCTGGTTCAGTCAGTGCCCACAGAGCAAAACACAGGCGTAGCTGTGCAGCAGGAGGAGCTAGGCATCTCTGCTCGCTTTTTGTTAAAAAGTAAACCAACAAAGAAACAGACACTGCTAAAACAACGTGTCTGCTCAGCTGGGGACATGCAGAAGGCAGATCGCACCAAAGATGTAGTAAACTGTACAGCATTTCACTGAGCAGCGTGCATCTGCTATTAGCCAACCCCTGTTAGGAGAGCTGAGTTTACACCATCCCCTGTTCTAAAGAAAGGGGACACACATGATATTACCAACTCTGCCGTGCAACCCTTCTTTAGATACTGGCACAGCAGATGGCAAGAGGTTCTCCCTTTTGTAAAGATCACAAACGCCTTCTGGACTGCAAAGTGCCTTGGGCATCCTAAAACAACTAACTGCATCTTCTCAAGGCACAGGAACTCTTGAATCCCACTCCCGCACTCCAGATCCTAATCCACATGCTTCTACTTACCAACCTTGCCAGTGTCTCTTCAGCAGGAGTTCTCTTAGCTCCAGAAGCAATGACTCCCAATAACTGGGCTGTATGACCACTCTTCCATGACCCAAATGGTTTGATTTACAAGGATGTTGTATGCATTTGCATTTATTTGCTCCCTTTGCATTAGTAACAAGGAGTTCCCAAAAGATAGCTTACAGTGCACCGTATCCAGGCCCCACAGGGATTCTAGATGTCATTGCCTCCTGCTTTTCCCATATTGTTTTTACACTGTGCTGCAACCATCCAACGTAACGTGCCACTAGGCAAGCAAGGGTGGCAGGGAGGGAGGGAAGTGGCAAAGTTGGGAATGCACAACACAATTAGTGATGGGATTGTCAGTCACTTTGATGTCAGGCCCCACAACTACACACCATGCACTGGCACTGATCTTGCCCTGCCCACTCAGCCCAGAAAGGCAGTGAGAGTGCCTCTTCTCATGCCAAGTCACCACGTCAGTCTTGGTCGCCATCAGACGACTCTTCTTCTGCCTCCTCCAGCCACTGGATGAACTTCTGAAGCTGCAGACAGAATGAAATGTAACTGGGTCACAAGGTGCTGGAAACACTCAAAAACTATATTGTGCTGTTGTAAGTACTACTGCTGCACATAAGAACAGGTTCATTGGGTTCCTCCAACCAGTACCCACAACATTCTGTCAGATGACAAAACCATGAGAGTTTTCCAGAGCTCAAGGCAGGAGAGATGACAGCAGTGCCTTAGCTAGGACATTGGAAGCTCTGCCAGGAGAAACCTGCTCCCTCACAGAACGCTATAAAAAGGCAGCCTGCTTTTACCTTGAATCACCAGCTGAAAGCATTGCTGACCTATACCACGAGTTGACTTTGCAAAGACTTTAAACAAAGCTGCAGTTTCTCAGAGATTGCTTTCTTCCCTTCCTCCTCTTACCATCCATGGATGAGGACTGGAACAAGGCTCAGCCAAACTGCAGCATTAAATTCTGTCTGATGGAGGGGGGAAGTTACATGCTCCTTCACAGCGTAAGCCAAATGAAACCACTCACTACTGCAGATGCTTAGAAACATATGCAAAGGGGCTGGTGAGCCAAGAATGAAAGCTTCAAAGGGATTGCATGGGACCAGCAAACGGGGCACTGGCCTAAGGCCTATTTCAGATAGGTGCTGACTTAGTGAAACTGTGCTGCTGCTCCAGAAAGCACAGGCCTCATGCTACAGAACCCACTAAAAACCATGCTCCTCTTCTCCCACCTCCATTCTTCATCAAACAGGATGATTACAGCAGAATGCACACAAACATCCATTTTGGACAGCAAAGTTGCACTGTTCAGCATAGAATACACTGGTGCACTACTGGCCTACTGTGCAATGGCTGCTCTACAGAAGGTGACAGTGGCATTGAACTCAACTCTGCAGTTCCTTCTAGCAGCTGTTGGAACACACATGCACAATAGACTCCACACTTCTGGGACTTACCCTCTGGTTTTTACGAAGCTGCTTCCCCTTGTCAGATGTGTCCCGCAGAGAGAACCAGTTGAGAATTACATCTTCTTCCAGAATCTCCAGCTGGTAAAACGTCATCAACACCTGCATTGATTAGAAAAGCACAACAAGGCTCTTTATAAACTCTTTTGGGATGAGCTCATGTCCAAGCTCCAAGCCTGCATGTAACTTATGGCTCCTAGCTCCATCCTTAACAGAACACAATCCTTTTGTTTCAATTTGATTTTGATGTTAAAAATAACTGTTTTTCCCCTATTAAGCTTTATGCTCCTGATAGCTGGATGCTATGACACGTGATGAGTCAAAGCTCAAGTCCCATCAGCTTCAGCTCTGTGGTTGCCCACAGCTCTCGAGCATACCCTGCAACAAGAGGCCACAGAGGGTGTCATCAGTTCAAGATGTTGCTTTGGCTGTCTTTTTAAAGCACCAAAAAACCCATCCAACAAAGCCGGTCAGACCTGCCCCAGGCTCCCTCTTCCTGACAGTTCTCTCTTAAAAGTGCCTTATGGCAGGTGTCAAAGCAATTGGTCGTTTGACAGCTCAAACTCCTGCCCAGTGCAGCGAGGGTAAGATGCAACCATTCTTTCTCAGGGTGCCTTTGTGCTCTGGCAGCGCAGGCACTTTGCAGTTGATCTCCTTGCGGCAGAGCGCTGACAAAGCTGGCTGCCAGCTCCAAACATAAAGTGTCACTTCAATTCTCAGCCTCCAGGGAAACCCAGGCTCCTAGAACAATGGACACATGCCAAATAATTGCTCTAATTCAATGACATTTTGGCTCACCAAACCTCAGGGCTTTGGCTCTGATCCACGCTAAGCGCTTTGCCATTTGCCAGAAACCCTGGTAGCTGAAGTTAGGATTACTTTTTTTTTGGGAAACCAGGAGTTAAGCAAACCTTATATAGACAGGGAATAGACAGGGGCTACCTGACACACTGGGATGGGGAAAAAACTTTCAATCTAAATCAAATACTCTCAGTTTGAAAGGGCAGAAAGAATGCATGGACAAAGTATTTGTAGGTAGGAATATACTGAACGTTCTTAGAAGCAGGGAGACAGGTAATAAGCCACATGTCAGCTCCTCTTTATTTCCAGTTTCACAACTTGGTTGGCCACAATAATAAATTCTTTTCTTATTCCTAGCATTGCTTGTTTTGCACTCTACAGTAGCATAAATCATTTGCAGTCAGATCTCAGGCCCACAAATAAAGAGGTGTGGAGAGTAGAGGCCATTCACAGCACCACACAAGGACACCTAGGTTAGAAGCTGCAAAGTAACAGCTCACTTCAGGCTTCATGCCAGTATTTAATAATTACCCTCAGCTGTGCTCAGAGTCATATGCAGACAAAAAAAAAAAGCAATTGTTACAGCTAGATTTTCTATACACACTCTCAATTGAGACCCCAATTTTCCCTCCTCTGAAGCAGACAAGCTGATGATGTGAACAAGATGGATTTCATCACAACTGCAGCAAAAACAAGTCTTCAGAGCTGGGAGTGGATACTCACTTTAGCTATTGATGTGCAAAGACTGTCGTGTTCCAGGAAGAATTCCTCAATGGCAAATAAGGCATTCAAGTGATCTGACGAACGTTTTATGTAGTTCTTAAACAACGGGGTCCAGTTCTTCAACAGCTGCAGGGAGAAAGCACAGAAGGGTTCCTGAGCTGTGAGACAGATGTGTGTGCTCAGCCCCGCTTCTCAGCTGTGCTGCACTGAGAAACTGACCCAGAACAGCATTTCACAAAACTCTTCAGCTGACCAGTTAATGTACTTGCCCTCCTCTGTCCATTAAACAGATGCCTGCACACATGAGATATAATAACAAGACCTGCTTTTACCAAACAACCTTGAGAACGTGTTAGTGTTTTTGGTGTTGATTCCTTACTGGAACACTGGATTATCACAATAAATGTGTTTAACAGAGCCTTCACATCACTTTGCAGCAGACTGACACACTGGGGTATGTACATGGTCTCAAACTTTCCACCCAAAAGCAGCTAACATTTTAGTGGAACTTCCTTTTGAAGCAGAAGAGCAAATAACAACAAAAAGAGAGTGCCAAGAAAACTACCAGTTTCCAGTCAGCAAAGATCCCTTTGTTCCCTCAATGCACAACCCCACGTTGGGTGCTCCTGCATGATATTACAGAGAGCAAGGATCCCTACCAGAAACCCGAAGAGACGCACCACAGATGCCAGCTGCTGGGCAGTAGTGCAAACACTAGCCAGCTTAGCAATTACTAATACTTAGATTTGAGAAGCACAAGCACTAGCTTGATGAATTGCTAAAATTGCCTCCCTGAGATCTTTTTAGACACCCTCACCTACATAGCTTTGTTTGATACTGCTTTGGTAACAACAGAAACGCAGCAACTTCAGCCACATCCACCCAAGGTGTGCCTACAGTCTGGGAAGGGTTGTGTTTTCTGTACCACCTCTGCTTCACAACTTGTACAAGAGCCAAACAAGACAACTGGCATACTTCAAATCGGATAACTCTTTCTCAGACCTCTACATCTCATCTGAAAAATACCCACAGGCATATCCCTTTACAGATGGTCATTTCTTAAGTTGCTGCAACACTTAGGAGCTTCATGTTCAGGAGCCAGCACTTCAGAGCACACACTGTGGTTTCAAGTCAAATCATACATCATAACTATGGCATTTCCACAGTTTCCCCATCTGAGCTGTCTGAGACTGCTCCACTGGTGCTCTTGCACAAACAACCCACCTTCCTTCAGCATCTCCTCACCAGAACTGAGCTACAAGGAGATTAAGAAATGTGATACACATCTCCAAAGTTCAGCAGGCTTCCAACATTCAAGACTCTCAAAATTCAAGTATTCCCATCCCATACAAAATCACTTTGCCATATGTAAGCTGTTATAAGCAGATCTCAGCCTGACACAACTATTGACTGAGGCCATTTTAGCTGCACAGCTACAAACTTCAGCTACATTTTTATTATGCACTGCTCTAAGAAACTTGGTGGCTGTTTTTTTAAACAGGAGCATTTGGAGACCGAGCCTCATGTCTATGCTAGGAAGATTATGCAGCACATCCTCCTGGAAGAGATTAAGGAGCATGTGAGATGTGGAGGTGCTCAGAGGCACCCGGCACAGCATCACCAAGGACTGATACGCCTGACCAGTCTGGTGGCCTCTCATGATGGAGTGATGGCATCAATGGACAAAAGAAGGGCAACTGACATCATATATTCGGACTTATGCAAGGCCTTTGACATGGTCCCACACTACTTCCTTACTTCTGATTTTTCCAGTGCGTTGGAAAAGATCCCATTGGGAGAGGAGAGCTCCCTGCTGCCCCAAGGATAGGACTTACAATGGATTGGAATCAGGTTCCTGGAACACAGGCCCATAAAGACAACTCTATCAGTCCTTTTCTGATCTCTTCTACAAGTTACACGTTCAACTACCACACAGAAAACAGGCAACAATCAGAGGTACTGAAGTAGAGCTCCCCATGCTTGCAGTCTGAGCAGAGTTCCATCAAGCAGGTACAAAAATTTCAGCTCATTTTTACTTCTTTAGAAGACAGAAAGGCTCGCAAACTCGAGGAGTTCAAGTGGCTTCAGGCTTAAGAAAAAAAGACTTAGCAACCAGGAAGTACCTCAGGCAGACTCCTACACACCAGAAGACAAGCCCCAAGTAGAGTCAAATGGAGCAGCACTCACAGGAAGTAATGCTGAGAAATAGTTCTGGGAGTCCAGGTTTGCATCCAGCTGCTGTAACGGGAACTCCAGAATCACTTTACTGAGCACCTGCATCATCTCATTCAGACTGATGTTATATGCATACCTGCAAGGAGAAAGGCACAAAAAATTAAACATTTCACAGAATCTCATCTGTGCGGATTGTGGTTCCTCACAGAGATACAGTGGAAGACATAAATCAAATCTTCTGCTCTTTTTCTTTTTTCTCTTCACTCCCCCTCCGCCCCCCGCCCCCAAAACAAAAAACCTACCTCACATTCACATAATGTACAGCTTGCACTAACCCTGTGTAAGACCAGAAGTCCTGAAAGTCTGCTATCACAGAGGAACAAGCTGTTGCAGGGACAGCACCCTGACGTTTACTAGAGTGCTGCATGAATACTGTTGCGCAAAAGAAGGAAAACAGGTTTGCATTTAAGAAACATTAGGTAAAAGGCACTCTGATTACATGTTCCAGACTTGCTGCTGTATAAAGACAGCAGACAAGCCATACCACAGCACAGTTTCAGCTGCAGGCAGCTGGTTGAGCTCTCCAGTGCAAAGAGCTGCAGTTCCTGCACAGGCTTACAAGAAATTGGTGCTAAGAACTGGCTTGCTCTCTTTCGGTCCTTAGTTACTTCACGTAATTCCACCTTCTGTTACAGAATTAGGGCTACTAAAGCTTAATGATTGAGGAAGCTATAGGTGTGTTAACACCTATCCACATTCAGTCATAACCTCTGATCTACATTTCTCCTTCTGCAACACTGGCAAAATTAATATGTAACAATCAAATACAGTTATCTACGCGAGTTCTCTTTCTCAATCCACTGCAAAACACAACTGTTCAAGATAACATACAGTATCTTCACAAGGGGACACTCACTTGAGAGAGTTGATTTCCAGGACCAAGTTGTCACAGGAAATGTTTTCTTCTTCACCCCTCTGTAATGTACCCAGAACCTCATTCTGGAAAACTAATAGAAGAAAGGACAGGTAGTTTGACAGGTCAAGGAAGAACAGATTCTTCACTGTTCCAAAGAAAGCATGGTCTCGACAAAGGAAGCCTTCTGGGAACCTATTTGCTCACCATGAGTTTGCACAAATCCACACATACTTTAAAATAGTGGTAGAATTCAAATAAAGGAAAAGATCTGACAGATACCATTGATCTAACCATGCAAATCAGTACAAATCTGTTTATCTTTGCAATCTTTCAGAGCAGTTTCTATTGTACTTCGACAATCAATTCCTTCCTGTTCAGAGAAACCTTGTATTTCCTTACCTAAAGATATGAATTAAGAGCTAGAATTCATTACTTTCCTTTGGTCAGATTTCTTCAGGTGAAAAAGGTGAGTTTTTCTTTCCCCATTTTGTCTGAACCCATTTCAAACCCACATTAACTTCACAAAACAAAAAATAAAAGCATCTCTGCCAAAAGAGGCAGCTACTACAAGAAAGTTATGGAGTACAGCAGCAGTAAGCTTGTTCTCAGCAGCCCCATCTCTCACCTTTGATGTCGTCTAGCTGAGGGGACGCTGCCCGACTGTCTGGCTCCTCAGAGCCCATGCTCAGGTCGCTGTCTGACTCACTCTCTTCTTCCGAAAGCATAGCTGGGCCTGATGAAGAAGACAGTATTCAGTGCTCAAAAGCTGCAGTTGTCACATGTGTAAAAAACCAGGTGTTGCAGAGAATTCACAATTGAGTCAGCAATTATCTGTCCTTGCATGGAATATTTTACTTACAGGTCCAGATGGTTCGAATTGCTGCAGAGGAAACACTACAGCTGGCACTGGGACAAGGGGACTTGTATTTGAGTCTGCAGGCACACAGCAAGGGACAGGGACAGAAGCAAATGCATCTCATGCAGACTGCTGACTCATTACAGAGCAGTGTCAGCACTCTCACTAGCTGGAAGAAGACCAGAACCCAGGGCAGAGAAAGCCCATTCCCTCTACAGGAAGATCTGGTAGCCCATGGTGTGCCCTTCAGAGAACAGACAGCTGTGTGCATTCATGCAGGTGAACCATCTTTCACAGAGCACAGGAAGAGAGAACCTGGCCCTTCACCTTCTATGTAACCTCTCATATCCACACACAAATCCATTATCTGGAAGCCAGACTGCTTCACGGAGCCCAAGCCTTATTCTGGGAACTATAATCAGTGTTCCACTCAGTAACTTTGCTTGACACTGAAAGTCTGTCTGTCCATCCCCAGGTTAATCACACTAAATTCCTTCTCACCCCATAGACTCTGTCTCTGCTCTTCATCATCTTCATTTTTGTCATCTGCTTTCCAGAGATAGCCTCTGCCTTCTGAGCCCACATCCTTTTTGTTGTAGCCTGAAAAAGCAATTAGAAGGAAGGTTTACCCATAAGCAGGTCTAATACCAGTGTATTCAAAATACACTAGTAAAATTTGCATTCTACTGCTCCTAAACACCCCACATCAAGACACTGGTAGGAACAGCATCTCACAAAGTCCTCGGACACAGTCCAGGTACAAGGACATACATCTTACACCTTCCTTGAATGGAACATTGTTTTCAATTTCAGCTTAACTTCAGGAAGAATGGAAAACAGACAAGTCCACACAGATTTCAGTGCTGGGATACAAGGCAGAACACCCCACAGTCCAACTTCCACCAAATATCCTTGCTTGACTTGCTGAAAGCACACGTTCCAAGCTGAATGCAGCGTTAGGTTCCTGCCTGCAACTGCAGAGTATAGAACAAGGAAAAGACTCCCAAAAGATGAAGGATAAAGTCCTTCATGGAGTATGGAACCAGAAATACTCGTACCTTTCAGCTTCACTTTGCTCTCCTCCTTGTTCACACCAGAATCATCACTAAACTGATCGTCATCCTCCTCCTCCTCATCTGGTGGGTGTAGAGAGATCACTGTGCCCTCCGAAAGAGTGATGTCAGGACCAACCACCACCTGAAAAATACATGCAATGTGTCTCAGTAAAGTAATACCCTGATTGCTCCTTTATCCCTCCATCAGAAGGGAGGACAGCAGCTCCAGAAAGTCTATTGCAAGGGAGGGTCAGAAAAGCATAAATGAAGACAGCACTGCTAGACCACATATCAAGCTACCCTAGCCAATATGTGCTTGAAGGTAGAAGAAGTGGGAGCAGCAACATAACACCACCTCTGAGAAAATGCCTGTATTCTGAAATGGCCAAGGAAAGTAGAAAGAAAACCAGAAACATACTTACCTGTGAGGAGAGGACACAGTGAGGTTTTAGCTTTACTTTCTCCTTCACTTCAGCTTCATCACAGATAACAGAATGCTGGATCTGCACATTATCTGCTATGTGTACTCCATCCCAAAGAAAAGCTCCATCCAACGTGACTTCATTACCTGTTACACATCAACAAGTGCAAATACTTTGAGCAAGACAGACTGCTGTTCTCCTACAGTATCGAGTTCACTGGTAAGCATCTTACTGAATCTAGGACTGAATGCCCTTGATGCATAATGGACGATGGATGAAAATAAAAAAAAAGCAGCCTTATAGGCCCATATCCACTTCTTACCCAAAGCTAAAAGATCAGTTAGATCTCTGTGGAGAGCAAACAAGTTGACAATACCAACTGACGTCTTTGTTTTGTACAATCACAGCCAACTCACACACAGAAAAACAGATCCAGAACATGAAAGCAGGAGTACCGTGTAGTTTACAAAAACAGGGACAGATATCCTTTATTTGTAGCATTTGGGCAGGTAATAATTCTACATTATTAAACACACTCTACTGCATTAAGCATTCTCTACTGCTAAAAAAACCTATTCACACGCAGTGCCTTTCACCTTTCAGCATCACTACCATACCCTGAAATCTGTCCTCCACGAGAAAACAAAGCTTTTCTCCTTTCTTCCCATTGGAAGTCCTTCAGTATCCAGCATCCTTCCCCAGAGCCACATGCACTTGAAAAACAAAATCCCAGCAACTTGTGCCCTGCTCTGGCATGCCATGCACACCCCCCAGTCTCGTACTCACCTATCCTACAGTTCTGCCCAATAACACTGTTCATTATTGAGCAGTTGCTGCCAATGACTGTTCCCTGCCCAATGAGCACGTTCTCTTTCAGCATGCTGCCATGACCAAGGCTAACGTCCACTCCCCGGTAAACGTTGTGTTTAGAATGGGTATAACTCTGATTCTTGTCATCACTGAAGTTCATCTCTGGAGTCAAAGGATAAACCCAGCGCCTGATGATGTCAGAGCACACAGCTTCATACATTAGTAGGTTGCATATGTGAGCACCATACTCTTCTGTCGTTACATGCATATGGATTTGGTTCCCCAGGATCTGGAAACAGGATATGTCAGAGGATTCTCTAGTCCAAGGCAACGGGATCTCCCTTGTAACATTCCTCTCCTTACCTCCTCGTTCACTAACAGACCACGCACAAAGTCATCCCGTGTCTGGTAGTCAAAATTGTCTGTGAAAAGCTCAGCCACCTGTCAGGAGTAAAATGTAAGGAACAAATGTAGTTACAGAAACAGTGGCCAGGGAAGTCAATTAATTGATGGCTATTCAGTGGTTCTCAGAGAGATGACCTATGTGTTACAGGATAGTGATGCTCTTGCCCTGAATAAAGCTTTGATTCTTGCTGGTAGGAGTGCTGACCTTCCCATCTCTTCCTCCTATCTTAGGATATGAACAAATTCTGGTTTTTAGAATAGGCAAAAAATATCTTTAGCACCTCCAAGCCGTCCACCTAGCCTTGCTTTGTAGTTTTACTTCTAAAGCAAGCCTTGAAATCAGCCTTCTAAGATTTGGAGGAAACACTACCAAGCCTAATCTGGAATAACCCTGACTCTTAGCCTAACACGGTACCAGCCCTCAAGTACAATCTCTTTCACAGCATAGCCATCAACTCTGCTCCATACTTGACTTCACCCCAAGTGAAACTGCTTTCTTTCCAGCACGTTTTCATTTTGTGCACAGTTACCCATCTACTGATGCACATATGGTTAGCTCGCCTTGAGTGCGGAATGGCACTCCTGCAGTCAGCACAGCAGTTCCACAAGATCCTGGCTCACTCATTGAGCATGGCTGGCAGTTCTGGTTTCCAAACTCAGTACGACAAAGGCACCCCCCACCTACCAGCAGAGCCAAGGAAGCAATGCCCATTGAATTCTGATTCTCTGATGGGCAGAACTCACCTGTGGAGAACAGATGCTGATGTGACAATCCAGCAAATCGTGGCGCACCTCAACGTTCTCAATAGAGTTCTGAAACAGACTCTGTAAGAGGAAAAAATTCAGAAGATCTGAGTGTCTCACTCAGTACTGAACCCCAGAGGTCTTCTACAGGCCAGAGGTATCACAGTGATTGAATTCTTAAATAAGTTGCTGTTCTGGAGATCAAACAAGTCTACAATCAACACTGAGACACAAGCTCAGCAGGCACAGCCTGGTGCACACAGCTGTGCATCAGTCAGCAGGGACTGCCCTCAGCCTTACACAGTGCACTTCTCCAAGAAACAGCTTGTGCAACAAACAACCCCTTTTCTTTCGGGAGGCTCCTTATCTTCAGTTGCTAAAAACTATAAACATACAAAGAACACTAATAAATCAAAATGCAGTATTCATAGCTTTCATACCTGCTGTAGATTTTCACAGCTTTTTTTTTTTTTTCCCCTTTTCATTTCAGGCAATGATTTGTTCATTTGAAGGTAAAAAAAAACAGTCCACTGATCACTGACTTGAGTTTGAAAGTGCCATATATGCATAGTCTTAATTCTGAGTTGAAAAACATCTATTTGTCTGGGGAAAATACCTCCACTGGTATGTTGATGTTAACTGAGATGTTAGCTGAGCACTTAGCTACATTACTAGCAGAGCCCATAAGCTTTCTAAAGAAACAGTACAGATAGAAGAGGTGAGTACTACAGCTTGCATCTCCTGTAATTCCACCCTGTGTCAGGCTCAGTATCACTTAAAATGAATTATGTATGGCAGTAGCATAGGAGCTCCATACACTAGTCATAAACAAATCATCTGTCAACACAGATCATCCACCTCCTGCATTCCACATAGCAGAAAGGATTCAAACTGAATTTTGAGAAATGTCTGCCCCATCTTCAAATGCTGAAATGAGTCCCAGCACTATTTCACCAAGCCTTAAATAAAGTTAAAGGAAAAAAAGCCAGTTTACCAAGAGTTACTTCCTATCATCTGCTCCTCCAAAAGAAGCAGCAAGAACAGTTTCCCAGCCCTCACTCAAGGAGGATTTCCTTGGGGTGGGCTGCTTCGCTACTGCAGCCCTTTTCCACCCATCGGCTTCCAGACGCACCATAGGAAAGCGGAAGCGTTTCAGCCCCTGGGTTCTCTGATAGTGAAGGACACGGTTTGTGGCACTATCCATAGCAATAACAATGTCATCCTCTTTGCACCTGGCATGGTGACCAGGTGAGGACTCCTTGAAAATCATCGTCATCACAGAAACATTCTTTTCCATCTTGCGACGCAGCCTGAAGAAGAAAAACAAAAAACGAGGACAATTTTAAAATCACTCTCCAGACAGCCAGAGCCCAGACAAGCATGAGCTTCTTCCAGCACCTACCTGTGCTCTTCCAAGGCTCTGGATACATTGAGGTTGGATACCACATCGCCAGTGACAAGAATGAAGTCAGAACGAACAAGGGACTTGGCATCAACATCTCGCAGCACGTCACCAAGGGAGCGGTACAGGTCCGAAGTCACAAAGCGCACTGTGTTGGGAGAGGTGTGGCGGCACCACTTGGACCTTCTGAAGGACAGAAATACATCAAAAAGGCATTAAAACGTTATTTCCCATACACAACACAGTAGGACACAGAGTTCCAGAGCACGGCACATCTGTAAGTGAATGTACAGAGAATCCCATGGCAGTGAGCCCTCCATCCACACGCTTAGGCACGTCCGTTTATGTGCAGCAGATGAACTGAAGGACATCAGACCAAGACTGAAGCTTATGGGAATTTAAGAAACTGGACTTTGCTAAAAACCAAGTTTGACAATGGAGAAATGAAGAACGTTACACAGCCCAATGTTTTTTTCTCTGAAAACAGTGCAGAAAAGACCACATGCAAAGCTGCAGAAAGCAAAGCCAAGGTGCTGTCAGACACACCTGCTTCCATAAACTTCATTACACATCAAAACAGGGCGTAATGAAAGGGCTGCTACTGCAATTTACACAGCTAGACAGGCAACTCCTGCATTTAAATGCGTCCCCAAACACTCAACCATTTTAAAACACTGAGCAACTACACCAAGAATGGTCTTTTTTGCAATGTGTCAGGAGGCACTGCTTGAAAGGCAATCTGTAGCACGTGGTTTTTAGCAGAAGAATTAGTGTAATATAAAGCCTTTGAGATTTGTTGGAGGATAAGAAGAATATGTTCCACGATAAAGCTAAAAAGAAAATGAGATTCTTACTGTAAATGCTCTTTTATCTCAGCTGACTTCCAACAGCAGAAAACAAAGGTTTCTTCTACTCCAGTTGCTGTTAAGAACTCCAAGGTGTAATCGATCATGGCCACATTTGCCATAGGTAAAAGAGCCTGAGAAAAAGAGACATGTAGAGAACTGAACACTGTACCTCAGCAAAAGAAAGTACCTCCCAGCTTCAGGACATAAGACTATCAGCAGTGTCAAAAAGAATTAAAAAAATTCCTGAATAACTGCACCATCTCCTTTCAACCAAAATATTCAGAGTGGGCCTAAGCAGTGAGAACTGGTTTCCGATGTTCTGTTGGGTCAGATCCTCACTTCACAATGGAAGGCATGAACAAGGTAAAGTTATCGCATACAAAGCTCTTTAAGAAGATTTGAATGAGACTAGAAAAAGAAAAAATCCCAGCATGCCAATTCCCTGACTCAGGCTTCAACTGTTACAAGAAAAACCTGTCAGATGTGAGTGATGAAGCCACAGGACTATGCGTATGCAGAATACAAAACAGTAGGAAAAAGAAAAAAGACCCAGTCTGATGCAAAGTAAGTATTCCCTTGTCTTGAGACTCAGTTCATGCCTTTAAACCAAGTCACTGATTTACAACTGAATGCTGTCTTACTACACTTTAACTCTCTTCGTGATGCTTTGTTCGAGGCTTGACACTATGAGAATAATTATGACTACCACAAACGTTTAATTAGCAAATTAAGGGTACTGAGCTAAGGGCACTGTTCAGACCTAAGCTCTCTGGAAGCCTCCTTTCCTTCAACACACGGCTTTCTGATCCAGGACACTAAAGTACTTTCCCCATCCACTTTGCTGTCCGTGTTATTCCACCCACGACGAATACTTCGCTTATTTCTTTGACATCGCTGCGCGACCCGCCTCTCCCTGACATACGGCAAAGCCATCACCGCCAGCGCAGCGCAGCCTCCCGAATGTAGCCCCTGTCCCTTCAGAAAGAAGAGAACTGCCGGAAGCTTCTGGGCCCTACAGCAGCCCGAGTCCCACCGGGTACCGCGCACCCTCCCGGCAGGGCAGCGGGCAGAGAGGAGGAGAGGGTTTCCTCACCCGCGGACGGTCTTTGGAGATGGGGAAGAAACGGCGGTTGAAGCTGTCGGCGACCAGCACGGCCTGGAGCGGCGGCGGTGGCTCCTCCTGCGGCTCGGAGCCGCGGGCCGCACCAGCACCTGCCCCACGCTTCGCGGAGCCGCGGGCCGCCATCTCCTCACGCTGCCACCGCTCCGCCTTCCGCTTCCGGTCCTGCGCCGGAAGTAGCGACGGGAGCTTAGCGGGCTCAGAACTCGAGAGGTGCGGGCGGGCGGCACATGCGCACTGCTCGCATCTCAGCACGGCAGGAAATGGTGGGGTGTATTTGCTGTATGCGGGCACTTCGCAGGCGGCCAGCAGGTCGAAGGACGCGATCCTGCCTCTGCTCTGTGCTGGTGAGACCTCACCTGCAGTAGCACGTCCAGATGTGGAGGCCTCGGTACAGGAGAGGCTTAGAGCACGTCCAGAGGAGGCCCACAAAAACGATACGAGGGACGGAACGCCTCCACGGGGACAGGCTGAGGGCTGGGGCTGATCAGCCTGGAGAAGGGAAGGCTCCGGGGAGATCTGAGAGCAGCCTTTCAGTATCTAACAGAGGGGCTATAGGAAAGTTAGGGGCAGACATTTTAGCAGGGTCTGTTGTGATAGGACAAGGGGAAATGGGCTCAAACTAAAAGAGGAGAGATTTAAACTGAATATACAGGAAGAAAATTAAAATAAGTGTGATGAGGCACTGGCATGGGTTGCCCAGAGAGGTGGTGGATTCCCCACCCCTGTAGACACCCAAGGTCAGTCTGCACGGGGCTCTGAGCACCTGATGGAGCTGTAGATGCCCCTGTTCAGTGCACGGAGTTGGATTAGATGGCCTTTAAGGGTCCCTTCCAACTCCAGAGGATCTATAGTTCTATGAAGTCCTTTCTAAAATGCTTCAGCATCAGCCTCATGCTCAGAAGTGAATTGCTGCATACAGCACTTAGGGTGGAAAGCACACCCTCAGCTGAATCCATTCTCTTCCACGTCTGTCTGCTGCCCACTTACAGCACTTCTGTCCCTCTTGCCAGCACTGGAAGCTGCAGGACCTCACGCTTGCTGTCCTGCACTTGTGCCGCTCTCCCAGGGTGGACATTCAGCTCCTCCTGTTCTTCCTTGCCTGCCTTTCCTGGCTTCTGGTTCTCTCACTTGCTATAACCCACTCTGATGAGCTGCCTGCTCTGCTCCTTGCTGCTCTCATCTGACAGCATCTCTGCACCCACCCACTTACTGACCAGCAGAAACCAGTCTGCTCAGGACACTTGCACCCACTCCCTCTGAGATAGGGCCCGTCTCCAGGGTGAAACACAGCACGCACTTATCAGCCCATGCACAGTGTGCTCTGCCCATTCTGCTGATGAGAAAGGAATGGAGTCACAACTCAGAGTGACAGCGCTGTCCCTGTGTTATCATCAGCCTGAGCAACACCTGTGTCTGAGCAGTCTTCACTGGGCTGTGAATGGGAAAAGATAGTAATAAATACAGCATCTCTTTCCACCAGTTGAATTGCATATCATGGACTGATTTAATAGAAAACAGCTCTTCTCTATCTCCCAAAGGACTCTGCAGTGTTGGATATCCCCTGCATTTCCCTTAGCTGTTAAAATGTGGTGCCATCTGCCCCCAGGTACTTGTGACTGAGCTCCTGCTGTGCCTTATGTACCTTGTGACTGCGTTACTTGACCTTAGACAATGGTTTAAAATGAAGCGGCAAGGATGGACACAGCAAGAAAATAAAAATGAGCTGCCCCGGAGAAATAAATTGTTCCCATTCTTTTCAAAAATAGGTGTCTGCATCCCCTTGGGAATTCTGTTGCCACAGCAAAGAAGCTAACCCCTGAAAAAATAATAACAAAAAAAGCTCTCAGATTGTTACAGCTTGAGGAATTAACAAAGATGTGGATTTGTCATTGCCTGAGGGCAGGACAGCATTTTCCTTCCTGCCTTTGTAGCATTAAAGGTATAAACAGCACCAGAAATCAGGTCTCATCCAGCCTGCACAGCCACTGCCGATGTCAAGACTGGGCACACAGAACTCGATGGGACAATCAGCAGATTATCTGTATAATTGCATCCCAGTTCTCTGCAAATGAGGCAAATTTCCAAAACATTGCCCTGGTAAATTGGCAGGAGCAAAGGAAGGCAAACCAATGTAATTGCTAATGAACTGAACTCGAAATCAGCCTGATAAATATTCCTCAGGCTTTGCAGAAACATTTCCAGTCGGTTTCCATGAGGACCTGCAGGCCAGTAGCCCTCACATGAAACACTTTTTGAAAGCAATTATAATTGCAGGGGAGCTTTTAAAATTGAAAATAGCTCGTGGAATCTGAGATGAGGCTGCACTGGGTTAGACTGAACATCCACCAAGCCCAATATGCTGCAATGGTTGGGCAGGATGTGGAAGAAGCCATGAACTGCAGGGATTTTTTCTACTCCTTCACCCCTTAGAGCAACAAGGAGCAGCATCCAGCAGCTCTGGGAATAATGAATGGTGGGGATGCCCTGCTTTCTGGTGATCCTCCTCCCAGCCTGTGCCCTTACATAGGAAACTCTTTTTCTCCTCCTCTCTGATCACTTGGTATCTCCTTGGCTTTTCTCTCTGCATAGAGGATGCTCTACAATGTATTGCTAAGCCTTGTCAGGCAGCTCCAGATGTGGTCCTATTTTAGACATCTTAGAGGCTCCACATCTAGAGATGGAGCTGCGTCAGGGATTCCCAAGGATGGTGAGACTCACAGTGAGGATGACAGGAGGTCTGCATGGAGGAACCATGTATGCAGCACAGGATAAATTTCCCCTCACTAGATGGCACATTCTGCCTGGTGGCCAGTGCGTGTCAGAGGTGACATGGGGCGCTTGGTACAGGATGTCTGACACCAGGGCCAACCTGGGCTTACTCACAGTGGCTGATACTTGCTCACCTACGTGAGCTGCCCAGAGCCGCTCCTACCCCTTCAGTAACAAGCAGGTGATCACAGAATTGCCAAGGTTGTAAAAGACCTTCAGGATCATCCAGTCCAACCATCCACCCATCACCAATAGTACTCATTAAACCACGTCCCTCAACGCAAAATCCAAACGTGATGGGACATGCATCCAGCCCTCCTGTGTGCCTGAGCAGCTCTGTTCCTGGCCTCAGGATTTGCATGAGCACCAAACCAAGTCTTGCAGGTAAAAAGAGACCTGCAGACCACAAGTAGGTCAGCAGAGGTGAAGCCCAGACTGACTCTGCTCTGCATCCCTATCCTCCCACGTCCTGGGCTCCAGCCAGGCTGGCAGCAGGAACATTGACTCACAGGCTGTGCCTTGTTCTTTGCTCTTTTGTCCCCTCTCTTCTGTTTCTCAGATGCAGGTTTCTGCCAGATGAACTGCTGGGCTTCATCCACTCTTAGCATCCTGCTGCTGCTTTGTTCACAGCCTTGAAAAGTGGACAGAAAGACCACAGGCCACCCAGTCAGCACCTCCTGGGGTTATCACATGCCATAGGACTGCAGAACTGCTTGGTAGCTTTTTCCACTAGCAAGATGCTGGGCATCATATACTACCAATGGGCAAGATGCACTACTGCTGCCACAGCTCCCCACACCTCAGTTGCCCTCACCTTGGCTGGGCTGTAGGGTACATTGCCCTGCAAATCTGCATATTTTAGCTGAGTTTCCAATCCTTCACAAGCATTGCTCCAAACCTTACAGCATTCTTGCTTTCTCCACATAGTCCCAGCTGACAACAAACTCCTAACGTGGCTCTTGAGCAAAGTGATGGGATGCCCTGCCTCATCCCACAGGATGTTGCTTCCATCAACCCTCACCAGCTGCTTTTCCCAAGAAGCACCAGCTTTGGGTGACATTGCTCACATCCAGCTGACAGACTCATGCTCTACCTGGTGTTCTTCTGGTACTGCTGCTTGTACTTTGGCTCCATCCTTTGCTGATTCACCTTGCTGGTCACTCAAAGACCGATGGTGTTCCAGGCACAGCAGGCACAGGCTCCTCCTCACTTCTCAGTGAGGACACCCTGTCTGGGGAAAATGAGTCAGCAGCCATCTGGCTTGGCACGTGCTCCTGGAGGCAGCCACCCTGTGTGACCCCAGAGGCTGCTCAAGGCTGAAGATGAGATGGGTTTCCCATCAGGGGACACAGCTGGAGCCATCATGGGAAACAGTGCTCCCAGTCACAGGGAGGAGGACTTTGCACAACACCAGGAGATCTCATGGGGAAGTGGTCAGGCCACATGAGTTGAAGGGCTTCCTCCAGCTTTTATGGGGCACTGGAGCAGAGCTGCCTCCTGTTTTCTCATCTAACCCTTCTCTAGCTCTGACCCATGCAGATTCCTAAAGCAGAATAGCTCTTCCCAAGCAAGTGTGTGAAGTCAGCTCAGAGAGGCTCACCCTTTGTAACTACAGCAAAGGCTGGTAGGAAGCAACCTGGGGGCTGAGCCAGGGAGAAAAAAGGCATTTTCTTTGGAGCTACAGTAGGAAAGATTAAATGGTGGAAGTACAATACAAGAGCGTAACAATAAAAGAACTGGCACAGACGGAATGGTGCTACAAAGCAAAAGTGCCCACTCATCTCCAAAGATCTAGGCTTAGAGGAAAGGCACTACAAAGGAGGGATCTTCAACCAGAGATCTTTCCCCAGAGGCAGTCAGCCCTTAAATGAGGTCTAAGAGAGGTGCAGCCAGACTCCACCCCTTCAGGTTGCACAGATGAATTGCCTTCACAGCCCCAGGTGCTCAATCAGTGGTTCAGGCCATGACTTAACAGTTACCATGCACTTGGAAGGCCAAAGGGCCAAACAAGACATGGAGCTTGGCAACCATAGCCTTGGGAATGGGGGGGTTGGCAGGGAAATGTCAGAGTGTTATGGAGGCAGGGTCTGGTGTCACTTGCATTATGAGAGAGGAATTTTTGGTGCTAAGTCAGAGCTGCAGGGACACAGAGGAAATTCCCTGGATTTACAGAGCCAAGATGGTTGAGGATAACATAGGACTTCACTTGAAGAGCTGCTTGGCTGGCTCCAGCTCCCTCCCACCCTACACCATGTGCAGATGTTGCTCTGTTCTTGCTGTCTTGCTCAGAGCTGGGGCTGCTTCCCATCTCCTGTGCAGAGGGCAAGGTTTTTCCTCATTTCTCACCTCTTCCAGCGGAGGAAAAAGGCT